AAAGAGAGAGAGGGAGAGAGAGAGAGAGAGAGAGAGAGAGAGAGAGAGAGAGAAACTGAGAGGGAGGAAGGGGAGACTTGGGGAGAAGGGAGAGACAGAAGCTGCCTCTTGGAGAGACAGACACGGAAAGGGAAGAGGCTCAGGCTGGAAGCTGAAGATCAGCTTGTCTTGGCTTGCAGACGGGGCCAGTGTGTTGTCTCTTAAAGGACAGAGCAGACCTTTACAGGCACTGTGTACCAAACAGAGGCAAGGAAATGACCCGAAGAGCTTTTGGTACTGTTCTTTCGTTGTTGTTCTTTTGTTTTGTTTTGTTATTTCGAGACAGGGTTTCTCTATATAACAGCTCTGGCTGTCCTGGAACTTGCTTTGTAGACCAGGCTGGCATTGTACTCACAGAAGTCCACCTGCCTCTGGTTCCCAAGTTCTGGTTCTAAAGTCGTCTAGCTGGGGGTGGGGGGACATTTGCAAACCAATTACTACAAATCTTATCTACTCACTCATCTCCTGTTTTGTTCATTTTGCTCTTGTTTGAAACAGGATCTTGCTGCGTAGCCCAGGCCTCATAATCTATCTGTACCAACCTCCGGAGTGCTAAGATTACAGGCCTTGCTAAAAATGATATTTAGAGATTGAGAAAAGCACAATGAGAGCAAGAGAGTGCTGAGCCAGACTGCCGCAGGAGAGACCTATCAAATAGGACAGAGTGACTACAGAGGAGCCTTCTGATGAGGAATTTGCTATTGTTATACTCTTATTTACTGTTATTATTATTTTTTTTAGGTTTTTTAGAGGCAGAGTTTCTTTGTGTAGCCCTGGTTGTCCTGGAACTCACTCTGTAGTCCAGGCTGGCCTCAAACGCAGAGATCCACCTGCCTTTGACCCTCAAGGACTGGGATTAAATGTGCCATCACATCCGGCTTATTTTACTGTTTTCTGTGGCTATCAATAAAATTGTGATTTGGAATACTTGAGATACAATGCTGAAAATGGTTCTGTAAGACCCTAAAAGCAAAAATAATAAATTAAACCAGTCATTTACCACTTGCTTACACACACACACACACACACACACACACACACACAC